AATCCTCTTCAGCTGTCTCTCTCGTGGCCCCTGTCGGTCGGCAGTGCCGTTTTTTCGGAACACCGCTCGACACGTCCTGTCCTGCCTCTTCTCTACTTCGCGGGGATCGTACGGCGGATTTTCCGCACTGGATCGCATGCACCCGGGAAATGCACACTCAGCGGCTCTCGCAGTCGAGGCGTCATTTTCTCTAGGTTGCATTCTTGTTTTCGGAAAGAAACAAAAGGGAGCTCGCAAAAAAATACCGATAATTCACCGGGGCTCTCCGCGACGATTGTTCGCACGTCATTGATTTTTGGTCGATAAGTGGAGTGTTAAATGGGCTTGAGACGTCGATATATGGAAAGTGCAGTTCCAAGAACCTGTGGATTGATAATTTTGCTCGGCGACTCGTTTCCAAGTCATAAGCAAAACAGTTTTACAATTTAATAAGTGGTAAAGCACCATATTGTACAGCAGCTAGCGGCTCGAGTAATTTATTTTAATTTTTACAGTGAACTGTAAATGATATGAATGTAGAGAATAGTTCGGTACAATCTGCCTCAATTATTCGCAGGAAATGTCCGACTGCAGCAATTCGTAGGAATTATCAGTCGCAAACGTTTGATTTTAAAAATAATACGTTCCAATTGGCGCACTTCCTATATATGGCATTTCAAATGATAAACGGTGACATTATAACGTTACAATATATTATAACGTTACAACGTGCCTGTCGATGTAAAATATTAACGACAACTTTTAAATGCCCAACCGAATGTACTTAATGATATGTACGTTTTACGGATTGCGAGACTGATTGTTGGTCGGTATTAATCGTCTAACTGTCCCATTTGCGAAGTCAAATTTTACAAATTGTATGCGGGATTGTAAGGGGAAGACTCGATAGGAAGCCACAAACGGATTATATTTGGAAAATTGAAAAGTTGTATAGTATGGAATGGGATTTGACTTTGGCCATTGCGTTAAATATTTAACGATTGATTGATCGATCGACCGATCGACGCCGTGGCACGGTGAATCGCGCACTATTCCATTTAATTCAAGAAACTGTTTTGTCATTATCGCTCAGTGCGTAGGGGCGACCTTAAGCGACGTAAAAATATTAAATAAATAAATAAACGTACAATTAGCAACGATACTTTGTCCTTTGAAGGGATTTTCCACCTGGCTACTGTGACCGTAAAAATAGAGGCGAGAGTATCGAATAAAGAAAGGCTTCAATATCCAGCTTCCATCATCCAATATTATCGACATGTACGAATTGCCTCGAAAGGACCAATGCGAAAGCCGACTCTGAGCAGACGTTCGCACGTATTTCCTTTAAAAGGACGATTAAAAGGAGGACAGCAGAGCGCGGCAATCGTGAGTCGAGAATATCCGGACGTGAAATACTTTCTCCTTATCTTCAGTAAATCATTAAAGACAAGCTTTATCTCGTAAACGGCCGTTCGTAAAAGGCCGTTTGCCGAGCGACAAAGAGGGCCTAGGGCAAGCAAGCAGTTGGCCGAAGTTCCCGAGAACCGTTATATTTATAGAGTATTATTTTTGCGTGTACGTGGCCGGGGTGGAGGTGGCGTCGGTCGGTAGCGGGGTGCCCGATGGTCCTCGGCCGACGTGAGTATGTGGCGTAGTGCGTGCGCGTGCGTGCGCG